TTTATTGTGATATCTGTTGATTCTAGTTGTGTGGTCTGCTTTGATTAATCCTGTGTGATCTCGTTGGTCGACTGAAGTTGGGGGGGGGGGGGTCTTTGTATGCTAGTTTTGTTATCTCTTTGGGTGGCCTTCTTGGATAACACTTGGGTGATTTCCTTTGGATGGCTGTTGTGTGACTGCATTATTGTTGTTTGTTTTCCGATGTCCGTTAGCGACTGTCGGGAGATCTCCTTGGATGAATGTTGTGTGATCTATTTTGATACAAGTTGTGTTATGTTGGATGATTTATGTTGATGTTAGTTTGATGTTAGTTGTATGATCTCTTTGAGTAGTTGTAGAGTGAATGTACTTGTTGCTTTGTTTGTGATATCCGTGAGTGACTGTCGGGGGATCCCCTTGGACAGTTGTTGGATGATCTCTTTAGATTGCTGTTTTGTGTTCCTCTTGAAGGACTATTAGTCCGTCTTTATTGTAAATTGGTTACGTTGGGGGATGCTAGTAGCTGGGTCATTTCTTTGATCTCTTTGCGTGACAGCTGTGTGATTTCTTTGCATGACTAGTTGTGTGATCTCTTTCAATGCTTGTGTGAGATCATTGGTTGACAGACAGTTCATTGGATGCTGGTAGGTTTAGGACTGATCGTAGTACGATAAAGTTGTCTTCGTTTCAGGGATATCGGTGAGTTTACATAGTTTTTCCATCTATTAATTGACGTCTGCATTACAATCGGTCTTTCGGCGAGACGTTTGTTGCAGTCAGATAGTGTTATGTAGGACAGGGGAAGGCATAGACTTATAACACCATTATCACTTCTGACAAGATACATTTAAAACTCTCCTTCTTGTAAATATTGCTTTCTCCCGAAGTAAATGAATAATAAGCGACCAAATATCTTCTAACTTGTGTTTATTTTTTAAATCATAATTAATCTTGACTCTAGTCAATTCTCACTACAAATAACATAAAGAAGAGAACTATTGTTCTATTAATAATAAAAATAATAATAATAATAATAGTGAAATTCTAAAGGGATTCTTCCTCCATGTTATTTTTTCAGCTCACGGTCCTGATTCCGTTATCATACCTGTTGTTGTATCGGTTGTTGTAGTTGGTATTGTTGTTTTAGTTATTGTCGGTGTGGTTATGTTCAAAAGGTAAGAATACTTTTATGAATATAACTGTTTCAACCAGTAAATATACTTTCATAACATCTGATACCACTGCTTATTGAGAAGTTAACATAGACTGAGAACTTTTGTTTTATGTGACATCGTATCACGATATTTAGATGTACATTTTTATCCCATGGGATTTAATGGTGTTTTTAAATATAGGTTAATATTCTATCAAAATTCGACATTAAGTTTTACTCATCGACGGAAAGTAATTTATCTATTACACAAAATATATATTGCAGAAAAAGAAATAAAAGTAATATACCAAGGCTAGAATTTGAAGATAATAGATATGAAAACTTCACTTTAAAGAAATCGATTATTAGAAACGATACATCAGGTAAAATCGAACTTGACGGATCACAAACACAGATTATTGACGTTTTGGCAACATGAAGATGTTTTATGGTGCATTATGTAAGGTTTAGATAAAGAGCTGGCGATTCTCTCTATAGTAGTTTAACTATAGCTAATTACTTAATTCTGAGCAAAGTTATAACTGTTAGAAGAAAAATGAAATCAAATGAAATGGGGTTTAACGTCCTACTCTTCTGCAGTTAGAAGAAAAGCGTGGTTACGAAAATAAACAGTCTTGATAATCCATTTTAAATTCAATTATTAAATCGCGATCGTGTTTCAATGCGTTCACAATCACAACCATTCGATTGTTTAGAGAGTTCATTATGAGCTTGGCAGGTGAATAAATGTCTAATGCATCTTTAAAAGAGATTGCCGAACACATTCTGTACATTATGAAAGAATTATAAAGAGTGTACAGGGTCATTTTATCATGCAAAAATATATGATGGCCACAAACGAGGGAATATTTAATTATTAATCTTTCATTTAATTCTGTTAATCGGGCTTTCCGATTTTCTGAAAAAAATATTATTTAGCTTACACAGCGTTATTAATTGAATCCTTTATTAAGTTCGTGGGGGTGAGGGTATTTTTTGTGAATACTATATTTATACTGAAAGTTTTTTATATACGATTGATATTTACAGACGACGATGCTACTCGCGAATCGGTTTACGTAAATGACGCTAGACAAGCTGTGTATGTTAATGATGTCAGATCAGCTGTTTATGTTAATGATGCTAGACAAGATGTTCATGAGAACATCCAAATTACACGATCCAAAACATGTATCGATCTGAAGGATTTGTGGGAAACCATTCAAAGAAAGAAACAAGAAAAGTCTTTCAAACCAGAATATCAGGTAAATTGAATACACCAATTAGGCCATTTTGGGACTAACATATGGTTCGGTTTCATTCAATAATTAGCTTTTGCGCAGGGGTCTTTAGCAGTGGGAGGAAACAGGGGGACCCGAAAACAACCTAAGAGGTTGGACAGGCGACCCTACCCACTTGACTCAATGACAGACCTTATGATTTCACCTACACGCGTTAACCATAGTAAATGGATCGTTCTTGTATACTGCAGTTGAATCGCACCACATACAAACAACCGAAAGCCCAAAAGACAAACCCTCTGACAAGAAACATGTTACAATGGACATTGCAAGGAACCAAAATAGTATTACCAAATCAGACAAACAATCGTTTTGGTATTATAATTGTAATTTTCTAATCTATGCACATGATCTATTGTTGACCAGATTAGATGTTATTTATGATCTATTCTAGGATTAATCGATGGTGTTACCGATTGATCATTGATTTATATTTACTTATGGTTTCATATATTTTATCTACGATAAAAAGCTGGCAGATCTATTGTAGATTCCATAATGGTAAATAATGAAATAGAGAATATAAAACAAAATGAAACTAAACCAGTTTGGTCAACCCCTTTGTATTGAGCGGAACACAATTTTTATGGAAAACGGTCACTGGTTTGTACACATATCAATAACAATAAGAGCGTACTTGTCGAAACGTCATGCTATATGTTTACAAACCAGTGACTCTTTTCCAAATCAATTGTGTTACGTTTCATTGTGCTCAATCGCTAAATCCAGCTCAAGGACTATGTTTAGTAGGTTATATCCAATTAAACGTAACATCTGATATTAAAAATATATTGTTGCTAACAACCATCGTTTATCACCAGTCATCCACAAGGGCGTTATTTTATCCATAGCGCTAAATTTATTGCCAAATATGATCGACAATGACAGATATGTTATAGATATGTATATTCTGTATAGTAACATATCCAAAATTTAAATGATTTCATAAAGAATTGACAAAATTATGGATATGTGAAATTTTGATATATCGGCGTAATACCGATTGTTTCAATATTGCGGCATATATATATTTCATAGTTTATTAGTTTATAATATTTATCCAAACGTAACTATTCTTACATTTGATAAGTAGAATAATTATATAAAATTAATCATTGGATATGATATGTAGAATATTATATACAATATATATCTCCTTAGCCTGGCTTATTGCAATACTTTGGGCGCTTTTGAAAAAAAACCGCTCTTTTGGCTCTTGTCCGTGATTAGTAGGAATTTTTTTATTATTTACAAGAAACTGCCAAAAGACTTGTGTTCACCAGTTGATGTTTGTCTGAACGATGTAAATCGACCTAAAAATAGATACAGAAATATATGTGCATGTAAGTTTTAGACATATTAAAGTAGCTAGGTCTCTAACTTAATATCATCGAAAGTCGTCGACATTGAAAACATGAATTATTTGTCAATTTAAATCAAGATTGATGTTGTGATCTTACCGGGAAAAGATGGACTTCTGATATCCAATATTTAAGACAAAATAAACATTTTACCATTGGTACACGAATCGTGTATCATAATGCGTCTCAGCGTCATTTGTAACAAGGGGCTCGAAGAACGAAGCTAGACATATTCCACAAGTCGTGTCAACCGGTGACGTCTTATTCTTATCTGGAGTGCATGCGCAATAACTACTATTGGTGTAGACCGGAATAACCAGACGCCAGAGATTGCCATTCGATTGAGACTTCTGGCGTATTTCGCCGAATATAAATGATTTGAAATTAGAGTAAAAACGGAAATGATTCTATGTAAATCAGTTTATATACATTCATGTTACATTATTATATGGGTTTCAACCCATTTGTGTCAATTTCTAGGTCCCAAATATTAGCGATTTAGCTCCTTTAACACGATTTGAATTGAATCCAAGTACATTTATATTCTTCCTTATTCAGTTCACAAAAACACCTTTTTTTCTGACTAGAAACATAATTATCTGGAACATTAATCTTTTCATGAATAGAGTTTCTATAAGGAAACTCGTGGCTGCCTTTTTGTTAGCCATTCCTTTGATAAATACAAAATAATTGTTCAGTTAGTCGTGGTTATTTGTTCAATACTCCATTTAAATAATAAATATCTATTTTTATTTTAGTTGATCACACACGGGTGAAACTAGATATTGAAAATGATGACCCCACTTCAGATTATGTCAACGCCTGTTATATTACTGTAAGCTAAACATATCAATAAGTATATTACTCTGTCAGATACATATACATATTTTTATATTTTTAGATGTTAAAAATGTTTGCTATTGAATATCGATATACGTTATACATGTATAGCTTACATTATTAGCTGTTTGATTGTTCTTTTAAGCCGACCGTCCCCAGTCGGTGCAGAAATGTAGGACGTCAACCCTACTTCATTTCATTTCTTTTAAGTCGATATTAATGAAATTCAATGGGCTTTAACACCCTACTCCTCTGCACATACTGAGCCAATGAAGGGGTCGATATTAAGAATGATAAATTCCACACTTTCAGTTGATATTATGAACAAATTTCACACCTTTGATTGATATTAAGAAACATATTGTAGTATTTCGACTGTATTCTACACGTTCTTGGTACTTGATATGTTTAACACCCGCTTTATAACCCATGTAATGATATATGAATACACGAGACAATGTAGGGGTATGTTTTTACTCTATGTTCATTATTTGTAGGGATATGTCTATGGTCTCGCTTCATAAACCTTATAATAATATTTGTTCATGATTTGTAGAGACAATTTAAAAACTATATAATAATAATAATATGTGTTCATTATTAATAGGGATATGTCTTTATCCCCGCTTTATAAACTATATAATATGTGTTCATTATTTTTAGGGATATGGAAATATCAAGAATAAATACATCGCGGCACAAGGTATATTCTATTTATCATTTTAATTAACTAATGTAAATGAAACATTCAAATGGGCGTTATAAATACAAATCTGATTGTACAGAATGGAATTTACGCAAGCTCACCAACGTTCGTATAACGCATATTATTCGTAATGCCTGGGGCACATTCTTCGAATTTTTACGGCGAATCATTTGGGCAAACCCATTCGCCCAGTGTGTCTGAACTTGCGACATTCGCCCAAGCTTCGGCCGAAATATTAATCGCCACCGACACGTTCGGCGACTGTGTCCACTCTGGCTGGCGATGGCGATTCCCCATGACAAACAAAATGGCGACTTCCAGCGATGCAACATGGAAAAGTTGCACCGAAGCGTTAATAAATATCTTTAAATCTATAATATATAGGACCTAATGATGTGAACATCTATGAGTTTGTCAGAATGCTTTGGGATGTTAAAACAGGAAAGATTGCCATGGTTACTAATCTACACGAAGCCGGTGCTGTAAGTTTGATATGGATATATTTGAAAATGTTATACAATATTTTATCTTTAGATTGTTAGAAATATATTCTTTTAATTACTTTATAATAAATAGTTTTGCTAATGTTACACGTTAATTTTATCAGTTATAAAATATCTTGAATGATGTATTGTAAACTGGTTCAGCCCAATTTTTGAAGGTAGCCGAAAACACAATTTTAATTTATTTATTTACCCTCTTTCGAATCACAGATGAAATGTTTGAAATACTGGCCATCGAGTGGCAAGGTAAAGACTTTCAGAAAGATAAAAATTGAACTGATTGAAGAGGATGTATTGGCCCATTTTACTATTAGGACATTGAAAATTTCAAAAGTAAGTAGCCTAAGCTAATCCTGTAGGTTTATCTTTAGTATCGTTCCGGACAATTTTTCTTCTTCTTAATTTGTGATGTTATCGAGTCGTCGATAACGGAATTCGTATTAATAATAGCAAGACAAATAAAACTGCGTTACAAAAGGGTGTTAGTAAACCTAGCCTCTATTAAAAGAATTTGCAAATACGTTTATTGAATAGGGTGTAATTTCGTGTTAAAAATATTTTTTTTGAAAATAAACTGTAGGGTGGATGTGGATCTCGGACAATAAAACATTGCCATTATACATCATGGCCTGATAAAGGTGTTCCTACTGATATGGCGTCATTAGTAGAATTCAGAAACAAGATACTTAAAGTCAAATCACCACAACCAGGACCAATGGTGGTACACTGTAGGTTAGTTCGCTTTGAAATATTTGATATTAACCTGTTGTTATCAATAGAAGCCTATTTTGTGGGGTCACTATTATCTGTATGACTGTTTATTATCAGGGATTGATATCGTGGAGATGGTGTGTTGTATAAGAAAAGCTGTGTTTGGAAATGCCATATTCTGCTCCAACTGGGCTAATGAAAACGGAAAACCGATTCCCCGTGTCTTGCAATAAATTTATCTTATTTTAAGTTCGTTTTGTCCTTATGGTTCTAATGTCGGCTGTGTTATGCACTGGACTTGAGTAAGTTTATACCTAGATTTTTGGGAAATTTTTTTTGGCGTGATTAGAACAGTTGTACATTCATTGGTTGTTTACAGTACTCAGCATTGATAGAACCTGTCATATGTTATCTAAATTTTCTTTTAATCATATTAATTTGAGATACAGATATTAATAGTAGAGTAACGAACAATCTAAATCTGTTTCATGTTTTCCAGTGCTGGTATTGGACGGACAGGAACATTTTTAGCTTTAGATTATTTGATAGAAGAAGGTAAAGCTGAAGGTTCTGTTGATGTTTTTAAATGTGTTTCACAGATGAGAAAAGAAAGAACGAATATGGTACAAACTGATGTAAGCTAAAAATCATTTTCAAAATTCGAAATATTTTGTCATTTCAATAATAGGCAATAAATCTATAGCAAGTGTTTGCTATAGAAATATGTGTGGTGTTTTTTTATATTAGAATCAACTCAGTATTCATACCACATGATGTTTTCTATAAGATTAATATTAACTCAGTATTAATACTAGGTATGGTGTTTTCTTTAAGATTAAAATTAACTAGTATTAATACCATGCATGGTGCATGCTTTCTATAAGATTAAAATTATCGCAGTGTTAATACCAAGTATATTGTCCTTTCTATAGGATTAAAATTAAATCAGTGTTAATACCATGTATGATCTTTCTATAGGTTTAAAATTAACTCAGTATTAATACAATGGGCTGTGCTTTCTATAGGATTAAAGGTAACTCAGTATTCCTCGACAGATCCACATGACATTTCTATTTTCAAGTTTTAAGTCAAAAGTAAAGACGCATCTAGTTACCAAATATTTGTGCTAGAACAATAGTTGATCCCATTATAAGGCAATTATTGTTATTATTAACTCTTTGTATAAAAACCTGCATCATGGAAGTATAATTTCTGGTTCAATGAGACAAGTTATCTGGTTTTTAATGTATTATTTTTTCGATTTTCTAGGATTATAATTTTCTTGACAAATATTTGTAGGATCAGTATGTATTTCTACATGAAGCTATATTAGAATGGTATATAGCTGGTGATACTACAACTACTGTTACAGATTATCAAGGTGTTTATCAAGATCTTCTTAAAGTTAAACAAAGTTCTGGTAAATGTGAACTAGAAGAGAAGTTTGAAGTAAGTTCACTATTATTGTCCAATATAAGGAAAGAAAGAAATAATCTAACTGATCCTAAGGACGATTCTAAAGTTAGTGACAATACAAAGATGTCAGACGCATCGTTCGGGTTATATGTTGCGTGATTAACCAGTCACAATAATAAGTAGTTCCAATCCTCAATCTTATTCCAGGATTTCATTTATTCACACATTCTGAATCTTGTAAGATGTAGCGTTCATTATTAAGTATCGTAGCCACCTATGTCTAAGAGAGTTGATTATGGGCTTGTCATGTTAATAAATGTATAAATAATAGTTTATATAAAATTTAAACTTTTAAGTCAAAATAAAGACCTGCAATAGGCAAAATCAGTCCTTACATAATGCATCTGGAAAGCTATAAGAAATTATAAATGTTGACTATATGTTGACTGTACAAAGAATATTAGAAATAATATATCCCGGTCTGGACTGGTGTGATATCTTTAATGACCTTGAAAGATTTAAGAAAAAACAAAGATACCCATCCACACGGTCATGGTTTTTGTTCATCTGTCCGTAGTAAAATATTTCAATGTTTCTACCCATACAGTTATACAGTTATGGTTCATGTCACAAAATTGAGTTAATTTGGTATTAATATTATGACAAATACCCATTAATATTATGCCTTATTTTAGATGATGAACCAGGTTTGTCCGAAATATACAGACGCTGATTATTCTACAGCTTTAATGACAGAAAATGAAATTAAAAATAGAGTGCCAACAATATTAGCGTGTACGTAATATTATTTATTTCGAGATTTAAAATTTACTTTTTTCTTTAAAATCAAAAGGAGTACTGTGGCATTATGTCAACCGCTTGTGGTTTTACATGCATTTAATAGATACATATATTACCGCGGGAGTGATCTCCCTTAGTTTAAAATAACATTGCATGGGAATGAAATGAAATGGGGTTTAACGTCTTACTTGTCTGCATCGACTGGGATATGGAAAACTGGCAAACACCATGAAATGTGTTGTTGAGCAATTAGTTTGCCATGACAGCGGCGCTACTCCGAACTCATATTTCGATTTTTAACAGGAAGAATCTTTAACGTGCTGCGAGTGGTATACACGGACCTCGGTTTTCGTCACATCTAGATAACAACACAGGTTTATTTTCTTGTCGGGCCTTCCGTCCGTCGTCACTAATAAGGAAAAACATAGGCGTACGTTCTCGACGAATGTTGGGGTGGGGGCCTGAAATGCCCGAAAAAATTTCGGGTTACAGACGGCAGTGCCAATCGTCTGTGAGAGGCGAAGGAGCGGAGCTTAAAATGTAGCCCCCACCCACCACGCCCACACCCAACACGAATATTCGGAAACTTTGACGGCCGCAAACGCGTTTTCCTGGTGCTAATCTCGATAGGGAGAACCTAGCATTAAGACGGTTGTATTAACATCTTCTATGTCTATGTAAATATATGTAACCTCGCTGGTTTCCACGAATTAAATGAATAGTCAGACCTTTCATGCTCCTTAACGCTGTCACGTGTGTGAAAATAAACAGATATTTAAGTAACGTTCTTGTTGAATAAGTATGCCAATAATAATAATTATATAATATAAAGAAGACGGTGTGTGAAACTGTATACGTATATATAACATCAATTATACATTTGGATTTTGACGTGACTTTTAAATTGTTTTAATAGCCAGAGGCCTTTTTATGAATGGTGTTTCACGTTTTACCGGTGTCCTCTTACCAAGATAAATCTAAAAATATTAGATAAATTTATATATAAAATGGTCTCGTAATGCTCGATGAATTTTTTTTTTTTGGGGGGGGGGGGGCAGAACCTGAAATGCCCGAAGAAATATCGGGTTTCGTACGCCTATAAGGGAAAAGCAGACTAGAAAAATCTCGAGGAATTTTCTATGCCAACACCAGGATCGAACCTGGAACCTCCTGGTTATTAAGTCAGCACCATATTCGCAGAGCCATCTTATTATAAAGAAGTGCATTTTTGAATTCACCTGATAACTCACTACAATAAAGAATAATTTATATAATCTTTGGGTTTTAATTTCCCTTGCCACCCCTCTTAAAGCAACGTTCACATTATATTCAGAAACACCAATAACTTCTAAAATATAGCTCAAGCCACCTTTCTTAATTCTACATTAAATCCACTTTCACATTATATGCCCAACACCCATCATTTATGAATTCTTGCATACGATCTAATGTTAGCATGCTAGTATTTTAGTAAATAAAACTTTTGTAAAAATATAAAGATTTATCGATATATTTTTAGATGAAAATACTAGAATACTTTTGACGATACCCGTTCCTAATACAACAGATTATATCAATGCTGTGTATATACCAGTAAGTAATCATTTGTTTTCGCATCACGTGGATTTTGTGTACTGTTTTATACTTTCAAATGGTATGCTCGTGTATTGAAGGACAATGTTGGTGTCAGCTGTGGCAAAAATCGCTGTGTTAAATTATATTTAGGATGTGCTTAACCAGTTGTATAACATATTGTAATATTTGTGGACAACAAATAAACATATACAATCTATAGTGTTTTCGTACGTTCTGGAAATTGTACCTGTACTGGTACACACATCCATTCTAGCGTCGCGTCAAGGTTTAGATAAAATAACGGGTATTTTCAATCGTTCTGGTGGTACATTATGAAATCACGCGACTTAGAATGTACAAATAAAACCACATCTATGCTTGGTTTCCGCTTTGTGGATGATACCAGTAAAGACTCTGAGCTCTAGATAAAGACTTATTAACACGTACTGCCAAGTAGCCCAAGAATTGAACAGGTGTGGCGGAATCTACTGCGGTCCATGGCGATATGCGGTGTCCTTTCTCGAGAAACAGAGTGTACATTGATTTTCTTACTTGCAAGGTATAGGTTATAATGATACATGATAGCGCCTCTCATTTATTTTAGAGTATTTAGATAGATGATAATTCTCGTGTATTTGTGAATTATACTTTGTAGAGTTACAGAAAGAAACGAGCTTATATATTAACACAGACACCATTACCTAATACTGTTATAGATTTCTGGAGAATGGTTGTACAAAAGGAATCTCAAACAATCGTTCACATGGATCATGAACAAGATAAAACTAAGGTAACATTGGCCATGGTTTATAACTATTCTGGCAAGTCATAGATAAAACTTATTAGTCTTTCGTAATTTTAAAGTATAGGGAAGGGAGAAATGGTTAAGGTAGTGGCGTCGGGCTATCAAATGATTCTATCATTTAGCCCCGTTATCTTATACAGGACATCCAAATACTGTTCGACAGGGTGGAAACCACTTCAAACTTATTTACCATTTAAAATTTTATGAATAGCTTTACAAGCATGGTAGTTTATGACACCCATGGTTCGATGGAAGGAAGGGAAACTACGAAGGAATTCCCGAGTGTCCTAATTGTTGTAATTTATGATCCACACTGTCCATAGGATAGAATTTTATAGATTGTAATAGATGTAGGAATATGGTATGGCTTGGTCTTTACTAACTGGGTCAGAAAATGACGGATACGTGATGTTAACTACTTTATGATTATGTATGTATAATGTTTGTTTAGGGTATTGGTCAGTACCTACCAGGAGATAAACCACTAAGCTCTGACCCCTTTACTATAACTAAAACAGAAGAAATACAACATGAGTTTTATACAATTATAACATGTCAGGTTACAGGCAATTCACAAGATGTAAGTTGAGTGTTAGATATCTAGAATTAAGTTTGTTCTAGCTTTGTAGATAAAATCACCATGTATGGCAAGGTTAGGGGGCATTTGTGTGGAATTCATCACCACAAGACATTCCACAAGATTTCTGTAGAGTGTTTGTTTTGTTTTTTTACCACAAACGTCCACAAGATATTCTACATTGAAAAGATTCAATTAATGATTTGCCTTCTACGCCCGTAAAAAACAATCCTAAATGAAATGAAATGGAGTTTAACGTCCTACTGTTCAATACTTAGTTTCTACTACACTAGGTTGGTGGGAAAATTAGGATGTTAAACACCATTTCATTTCTATTGCACTAGAGAGTTTCAACTAAGACTATATAGCCTAGAATACAAAAACAAAACATCCTGGGTCAGATAACAGATTTTTATGTAATGAAGGTTGTCTATGTTTTTATTACTATAACTTGCGTCCTTCTCCTGTGCGATGAAAAAGTCTAAAGTTTCAGACGGTTAATGCGACCATATGAACCTAACGCAAACGTCACTCCTTGGGAAAGTTGAAAAACCTACAAATACCATGTATTTGAGACCGGGACATCTACCAACGATTCCTGGCCGTCGCACAGAACAATAAACAATTTAAAGTCTGAAAAAAGCACCCACATCTATACGGGGATGTGTAGATAGGCAGCAAAGGATACCAGTACATAATACACCAAGAAACACATGCAGATAAATAGTCATTGAAAGTTACCTATGCGGAACCATTTTGTCATTTTCTGTAGGTGTGCACAGAAAAGAAAGAAAAGAAGTCATGTAGAGGGATTATGTTTCGTCCATTTGAAATACAAATGATAATGTTATGTCTATATATGGTTATATGTGCATCTATGTTTTTTTGTCTTTACCTTTTACCGGACGAACGTGGTTGAAAAGCCTAAAACTCAAATTTCAAAATCCGAATCACTGAAATGCAAAATGAAATAAAATGTCGTTTAACGTCATACTTTTCTGCTCATACGGGGTGCTATGAGAGACATTTTGCCCGGACAGCGGCACTACGACCTACTCTTATATCGAATCCCAACTGCCAGTGGATCTTTAAGTGCACGTCAACGTACACCTTAACTCTGTTTTTCGTAACATCCGAACGACCAAGGGAAAAAGAACCGCACCGGAAAATCCTGAGGAACTTGCCCGACCCGTAACGGACCTTAAGAAAACCAACGAGGTTAGACTGAAAACCCAGCTAAAACCGACGAGGTTACACAGATAAGAGGGTCTGAGAAGAAATGTTTGAAAAAATTGAAGCTTTTCCGTATTCAATATCTCGAGGAACTCTTGTGGTAAAAAAACACCACAGACCTACAATACTCTATCAAAATCTTGTGGAATGTGGTAGCACACATGGGGATAAGGTGGTCTGAACGCTTGTGGTAAAAAAGCACCACAGACAAAAAAAACACTCTATCAAAATAATTCTAAATCCCAACTGTTATCGAAAATCTTGTGGAATAAGGTACCAAACTGGGAGATAAGGGGTCTGAGAAGAAAGTTTTGAAAATATTGTATGTCCTATATCTTGTGGTGAAAAACACAACAGAATAAAATCTTGTAGAATTTACTTTCTCTCTCATCTTGCAAGATAATGAGATAAACGATTATTGTTTCAGCAAAATAAATAGAAAATGTTTAATAAATTTTTCATGGTTCAACTTTTTCAAACGCCCCCAAATCTTGCTATGTCTAAAACGAGTTTCCAAATATCAAAGACGTTTGATTTTTGGCGACAACGAATGGTTCGTTGCTTTAAAATGGCGTACAGCAGGCAGTTTCTCGTTCAACAATTTCTGGGACTGGCACATTTTGACTTGTCACATGTAAGTCACCAGTACCTCACCCGCTGTGACAGTATGCCATTTCAAACCTAGAAGTACGACCTTGTTTTCTATTGATTTAGACCCATTTAATATCAAACGGTCATGTAACATTTAGTAATCATAACACTTAAATGTTGTGAATAAACTTTATCGCTTAATGTGACCAAATCATTTTTATAATAAATGCAGTTAATTTGGCAAAAGTGACAAGTGTGTACCCTTTGGAGGTATATTCAAACGATTAGACCCTCAATAGTGCGTAAATCATTTTTATAAAAAATGAAGTTAATTTGGCAAAAGTGACAAGTGTGTACCTTTTAGTAGGGTGGCCCACGCACCTACAGAAATACAGTCCACCGCTGATAGTTCGAGACTACCACTGAAGCGAGCACAATAGCCGTGTCGAGGCCAACTTTCTGACAGTATGATACTATAAATAGCCATGGCACGTGCAATTCTCTACAAATCTATCAACTATTACAGCCGTAAAAAAATTATTGTTGACGATTTTGAATAGCAGTGAAATTAAGCTTCTTGGTTATTACAGCAGATTTAGAAATTACGTTCGTTTCATTTTTTAAATCGCTTTATCATTAACTGTACCGTTAAGAGCGGCATCTTTTGGTTTAGTACAAATAATATCTCAGAAACACTCGGGTTAGACAGGAACATGATACTAGCAGTAGTTTCATTTTACTTTTACAAGCTTCTTAAAACAATTGTTGAGCTAGCTAACGTGCTCATTTCTAAATTCAATTTCTTGTTCTAGCTTTCTGTTATGTTTCGTAAAAAAAGTAGTCTTGATTATCCCGACCTGTCAATCAGCCCTAGAATGGTCGATAGACTGGTTAAGCGAGACTAATTTCAAAACAAGGGCACGTAACCTATCTTTTACTCAAAAGTGTCTGGATGTTATGGACGACACATGGAACCAGTTTTCAGTCTATTATTTATAGATGATTAATGGTCATAGCTTATTAAGTACAACATGATCGTTTATTTAGTGTCTATAATTGTGTGAAACTGATTTGAGGCTTGGCATATATATAAATATTGTGGCGAAATTGTCGAGATATATGGAAATATTTATTTATGGTGGGTCACCCTACTTTTAGAGATATATTCAAACGATTAGACCATCAATAGTGCGTAAATATACTGACAACTCTTGGGGCAGTTTTATACGTTTACGTTGTATGAAAAGATGAGACCTGTGGATTGAGATATTTTTTCTATATATTAACACAGAATGAGATAGATCATACGGTTAGAATCTACCAGTGTACATTTTGGAAAGGTGAAGAAACCACACTCAAATCATCTACTCCGTTTTTCACCCTGTTGGAACACATTCAGTCATGGACATATGATCAAAAAGAAAACCCGATTATTGTACACTGTCGGTAAGTTAAAATATACATGTGTTGTAAAGTAAACTGTTTCTAATAAGATTATAAAATGAAATCGGATTAACCGTCTTATTGTCTCCACCAGCTTGGCTAATGAAGACAGGCATACGTACACCATAACTCAATTCTGCTCGGAAAGCGGCCTTTCTACCTACTCTTTATCGAATTCCATGCACACCTACGAGTACACATGTGGGCTTTGTTTTGTTGAACAACCGAACGACTACAGACTTTTCGTCTTGCACCACTGACACGGGGAAAGCAGGTTGATACTCCCGTTGAACGTAGATGGATTAAATACGGGACCTCCTGTTTACTCATGGAGACACCGTAGGTCCCAAATAAGGTTATAACAGTGTACCAGATAGTTGAATTTTTCAGGAAGTAAAAAATCATATTGTTTGTAGAAGGGTTACTTTTCTTGATTTATTTAAATAAGTTCATCGCAAAGTTTGACCAGTTGTATTCGAAAAAATAATTAACATTCACTTTTAACTTGTGATATGAGATACCTGAAAGTTAAAAGGGGGATAACTCACATTTCGATCTTTTGAAAAGAATACGGAAAAATGCAGTATATTGTGAACCTACTCGCACTCTCGTATGCCACCACCCTAACACACAAACCTTTCTCGTACACGCACATTACATATCGTGCATATCGATTTTGTTTAGGCGTGGTGGTGGTGGTGGTGGTGGTGTGTGTGTGTGGGGGGGGGGGGGGAGACCGACTGATGCACATTTCCTGGACTGTTTTGCAGAATTATGATGTTTAGGTTTCCTTGATTTATAAATTCTTTACTAATATTGAATATCATCCGCAAATGACCTAATTGACCTTTATAATATCGCCTAATTTAATCGTAACGTCTTAAAACCTCCATACATGGAAACTACGTGGACCATTGGCGCGTATTGTGATATCCAATCAAAGCAATCATATCTATACACAGATATATTCATACATATATTATGCATTTGAGATTCCCCTCATTAATTCATTTAGTCACCGATGTATAATTTTGAGACTGACTGCAGTGACTGCACTTATCTTGAGACCGACTGCAGAGACTGCACTTATTTTGAGACCGACTATTTGTGAAACTTTCTAAAACCCTGGAACTCGGCTACATAAAGAATTTATTCTAGTCCCCAAGCATATTGATTTCATTGATTTACATAATTTTCACCAAAGTCCTCGGATTCAGGTATCTAAAACAGGCGAAAATATTAAATCGCATGAGCATTGAAGAACTGTGAGTATGGAAATATGCAAATTTACTTTTTAGAAATGGAGTGAACAAGGGAGGACTATTCTGTGTTCTGGCAGCCATTTTAGAACGACTAACCATAGAACAAGACGTCAGTGTGTTACAGACTATAATACAGCTTCGAGTATCCAGACCACAAATTATAACTTGTTATGTGAGTATGCACACATGCCTTTCAAATTACATCAAATAACGCAAATCAATGTATTTCCCGTTTGTTCTGGTAATATTGATTTGTATAGTATTCAGTTTAAGCTTGTGACCACGACCAGTACCATATATTGTGGGTGGGGGGGGGGCAAAGTGAGACAAATGCCCCCCTCCCTCCCAACATACACACATTGGTCCACAATCGGGGGCTTCCATTTTGACTTCCAACTTTTAATTTGATAAGATCCCGTAGACATGTTTTTATAGTGCCACCAGTTCGTTAGAAAATGATAGATCATTCATACAATGATACGGATATAATAGGGTTTGAGGTTCGCACCTTGATTGGAGTTTGAAAATGATGTTCTTAACAAACAAATTTTAAATATTACTGTTTTTCTACTGTGTTACTTCGCTCCACACTGGACCCTACGCCCTGACCGCGACTACAGAATCAAGGTATTTGGAAAATTTATTTTAAAAAATTCCTCGAAATGGTCATTGCGGCATCAGGCGCAGTCCTATCACATTACAGAATATTTCGACCCCAGATATCGTATTTCTTTTAAGCCATGGTGACAATGTATGCAACATAATTGGGGGGGGGGGGCTGACAAGACCCATTTATATTTTATTTGCTCCGCCCCCATCCCTCACTCCCCTGAATTCACCGGTGTATCCTAACTTTTCACTTCAGTCCCTAATATTATTTATTTTCAGGAACAAGTGAAATTTTGTTTCGATGCTGTTGGTAATTATCTGGATAATTTCTCAATGTATGCCAATTCTTGTTGATTTTAATTATAATATGTATCCTATTGTAATAGTGTGATAATCCACCAATTCTTGTTGATTGTAATTATAATATGTATCCTATTGTAATAGTGTGATAATCCACCAATTCTTGTTAACTGCTTTCGTGAGATGGTGCCGGTGTTAAAATCTATTGGTTTTGGATTTTTTTAGTTATATGCATATGTTACGTTTTCCACAACGTTTGCTTTATTTTTACAGTTTATACTATTTAATGTATACATTGGCTTAGGTATGTACTTAAATGGCTATATTGTGTTAAACATGCATTATGCAAGAGATAAATCTGCCTATTACAGGTCTTTTTTAGGCCTGAAATGTTATATAAAATATTAATTAGACATTTATTAACATGAAAAGACCATAATCAACTCTCGATGCCATCTTATGTGTCCGAGTTTCACTGGATTTGAATCCGATCTGCTGTTGAAGGTTCTTTGATGACTAAACACAAAAATGGATGATCGAGGTTTTGTTAATTAGGTGACAGGCGTAACAATGCATTCGAAGCTACAGAGTTTTCGCGGCTTAGCGTGAAGCAATGTGTCTAAAATTTTAAGCATATTCCATTTACATCATCTAGTTGTTAACTATTATAGTGAAACTACCAGCTCTTTATCTAATCAACCATAATGTATCCTTAAGTTTATTATGCTTTATACATATTTCAAGTTTATTATATTTTTCTAAAACTATTATATTTTATTAAAAGTTTTATATTGTTTAAAAGTATTATAATAATGCTGCTAAAAGTATTGTATTTTGCTGCTAAAAGTATTATATTTTGCTGCTAAAAATATTATATTTTGCTGCTAAAAGTGTTATGTTTTAGAAATATTTTGAATCCACTATATTTTGTATTGTTAAACTATATTTTGTTTTGTTAAACTATATTTTGTTTTTTTAAATCTGTTATATTTTGCTAAAGCATGTTTTATAAGAATAAACATGGACATATTAAAATACCAAAAGAAAAACGAAGTCACTGCACGAAGTGTACCTTTCGGTTTCCGTCTTCATTAGCCCAGGTTAGGAGCAGAACAGTAGGACGTTAAACCCCATTTCATTTCATTTACCTTTCGGTTTAAATACTGGGTCTGAAGCAAATTAATTTTGTTTCCATTTGCTTTCTTTATATTAAATATTATCGGGGTTTATTTTACCTCATTTCATATTGTATTTTATGCCATCTATTTTCTTTGTTCATTTGATTTAATTAATTTTACTTTGTTTATATCAAGCATATGTTTTTTCGTTAAATAATAGTTTGTAAAATATGAGTAGTGTATTTTTCGAGGAATTAATGTCTCCTATATTGTAGATGAAATGCATGCAGTGACGTGTTTCACAGTAAAACAACCAATATTAAACCCAATTTGTTTTATAACTGTTAGTTGAACTGACTTTTTCTCTATCGTGAGGTTCTCACCTTTCCTTATTATCTGTCTGTTATTAATATGAGTCTTGCATTCTTCAGCATAGATCATCAATGATAATCTTACATAAGATACATTGATCCAAGAGTGATGATGAATGTTGTGGTCACTTGAGATTAACATTAGTTTTCATTTCCCATTCTCTTGTTATTATTTAAATAGATAAATACATTAGTGTTCATCCTGTATGCTCACTAACATCTACGGGCGGATATCATTTAACCTGTCTATAATACTGTACCTAGGAATATTTGGTGATAGGTGTTGTTTCGATCTATTTCAAATGTAATATCATTTTTTTTACATATTTAATCTAGATGTAAACATTTCAAATATAACATAAATCTTAAGCTATTGTTAATTTTAGACTGAAATAAAATCTTATAAATTATTTATACCTGCATCACGAGTACTGTAGATATATACACGCGATGGGAACGGTTGATTTTCACGACGTACAAAAGAAGTTCATTCCAGTACTCTCTCCTTTCCTTAAACTGAAAACCACGTAAAAGTTGTGTAATAGATTCGATGATGGTAAAGAATAAAATTATGAAAATAAAACAAAAACCCTCCAAACAATATTTTATAATATATGAATAAATCTTGCATTATATTTTAACAATTAATTTTATCGTTGTAAATTCAATATACCTGCAGTTTATTATCATTGTACATTGCCAATACTTTTGACCAAGCAATCAGCAGTGATCTCCCCTGAAACTGAATGCTGAATGATGCTCAACCGGGTGTGGCACACTGATCAGAAGTGAATATTCGCTAGGCTGCTACAGTCACTGATAAGGATGACAACGATACGGCTTCCAAGTATTAACTTTTTTCCTCCGACCAATTAAATTCTAAAACATAGTATTTAAGTATTAGAAAAATAAATAAAGACGTCTGAAGTATATGTAGATAAAAAGTATTTCTTATTTAGTGTAAATGGGTATGTGAAACGGACACAGCTCACTAAATATTCCTACGCTGTCCAATCTGATTAAAATACAGATCTATATTTCGTTTCGTCTATTCATCGGTATCTGGTGTGTCCACCGCGAGTGCCAATAACAGCAGCGCGGCGTCTCTACATGGAGTGGAGAGAGAGAGAAATGGGGTTTAACGTCCACTCGACACAAACTAGGTCATTTCGGGACTAACATATGGTTTAATTTTATTTCAATAATTCGCTTGCGCGTTGGGGTCTTTAGCAGTGGGAGGAAACCGGAGGACCCGGAGAAAACCCACGAGGTTGGACAGGCGACCCTACTCCTTGTCACGTACAACCGGGGATTCGAAACCACACCAGTCGACTCAATGACAGACTTTATGATACAGCGCGCGCACACTAACCATTCAGCCATCCAACCCCCCTACATGGAGTGGACCAGACGATTGATGAACGCCATTGGCACCTGTAACCACACTCTCAGAAAGGCCTGGCGCAATCCATCGGCTGTGTTTGGTCTCGGTACGACGTTATTAAGTCTCCTCTGAATTTCATACCAACGATGTTTAATCGGGTTTACGTCCGGACTACGGGTTGGCCAGTGCATAACGTTGACATCTTTCTGCTGTAGAAGTCCCGAGTAACTCTGGCGGTGTGGGCACGGGCGTTATCATGTTAGAAAACTTTGTTTTGATGACGTGCAAAATGTGGTATGACGTGGGTTCTGAGAGCTCGATCGATGTAGCGCACTGCTGTGATGTCGCCTCCTCTCTCTGGACAAAGATTTTGGAACACCACAGGACCCACTCTCTGTTTCAGACCGATTCTTCCCCAAACCATTATGCTTGGACCTCCCCATGAGTCTCGTTCCATGACACATTGGTCAGAATAACGCTGGCCACGTCGACGCCATATTCTGGTCCTGCCATCTGCAGTTGATACGCAATACCGACTCTCACGGAACAGTTCTCCATGTGTATCTGCAGTTGATACGCAATACCGACTCTCACGGAACAGTTCCCCATTGCCTGTGTCGCCAGTTCTGGTGTTGTTGGGCAAACTGTAGACGTTCACGTCGTTGGCCAGAGGTGTCAAAATCGGTCCACGGCAAGGTCTTTGACAATGGATGTTCTCTCTGATGAGACGTCGGTGCACTGTATCGGTACTGATGGGTTTTCCGTGTGTTCCCACTCTCTGACGTGCTGTCTCAGATGCCTGTGTGAAGGGATTCTGCACGTGATGTCGCACAACATGGCGGTATTGTCGCCTTGTGGTAACCCTTGGTCTGCCAGTTCGGGGGCGATCATCCGTGGTGTTGGTGGCCCGAAAGCGTTGCTGAAGTCTGTAGATGGTCCGAACATTGACCTGGAAGTGATTGCCAACGGCTTGGGCAGTGTTGCCAGCGTTGAATCTTCCAAGCGCCTGGTTCATCTGAGCTGTCGTGAGTCGTGGCATGCTGCTGGCGTTGTAGTGTAAATGATTCAACGGAGTATACGGGTGCATTTTATAGGTCTGGTCCCGGTGAACAGCGTGTGTAGCACGAGTTACATGAAAATCAATTCTGTGTTTGGGAAGGGGCCTTATTGTTCAGGTAAAGTTGGAGATGTGGTCACAAATATACAATAAAAACATTTACCAAGTTCTATGTATTGCGTCTATTCAGAGTAACATACCAACCTGACGTTTTTTTTGCTGCTTAGTATATAACATTGTATTTGATTAATGGATATCTGGCAATGAGCGATGTATTATGGACTATCACATCATTGACATGTTCGTAGCCGATTTATTTTTTATTACTAAACATTTTGTTTTCCGTTTGATTACTGTATTATTAACGTTGTTCCTGCTGCTTGAGACCTTATGTCTTTTTTAAGATTGGGATATTAATAAACACCTTGTTTAATGTATTTAAACATTATTAAATTGCTCACTAGATATTTTTGTTTAAAATTATGAATTGTTATTAAAATGTGTCTATGATAACACGCAATGCGATGCAGGGGCGGATCCAGGAAATTTTGCAGGAGGGGGTTTGCCAGGTTCCTGAGACAATGTATCTCCCCCCCTCCCACATGATCTCTATCGTCATTTTGGCGTATATACATACTCATTGAGCTTTTTAAACAGAGAAATTCAACACTTCGTTTGACGTCAATTTTTTATTATGCATTAATACAATGACATTGTGATTGAATTTCATGGTTGCAAAGCATTAATTGTGATATCACATAATGTCTATATCATTATCTCGTGCTTTGAGTGCCCATCCTGTCCCACATCTGACAATAAAGGATAAAGCACACGACCGAGAAACTTTTCTCATAAAAAGTGTTGATTTACAAAATATTTTATGTAGCTGAGCAAGGGGGGGGGGGGAGGGGGATCCGCCCCTACGATGGGCTGTTTTATAATAGTTGAGTTGTTAGACTTGCCAGTACTAAGTTTCAGATTCGAAAACCGTTTACTAGAAACAGTTTTGCTACTAGTCATTACACTTTTCTGTCCATAATAGGAACCACATTGGCTCATTCATGTCGGGTATTGGCCAATTTTCAAGCCCAGTGTCTCCTTGTTAGTGGTGCTGGACTGGTGTTCGTTCGGACAGAACAATAAACAGCAGTCTAATGGTGTTCTCGTCTGTAAAATAATCTTTGACACGAGTTTAATTTGATAACGAATCACAGCTGTACATTAATATTTTTAGGTTTCTATTGAGATACTGTTATTAACCGCAACAAATCACATTCATATTTTTAGGTTTCTATCGAGACACTGTTGATTTAGTATTCAACTAGGCGTGTCTCATATTGACATGAATTACATATTATTACTGTATGTTTATTGTATTTCTCCTACCATTCAAAAATGTGGTGTTACTAATAACACGTGATAAATATATTGGTCCCGTTTCATAGCCCAGCTCTCGCTCTGCTCCCTGGCCCGAATTTAAGTCTTGCTTTGTGGAATATAGAACGTGTTTTAAGATTATTTAAATGCTTACGTACACGAATACTCGATACTAGTATTAGACTCTTGATTTGGATATATGCATATTTAAGAATGCCCCATTAAGACTCATGCGTATTTTCCTTTAATGGACAATTTTGTCTTTGAATAAATTTTGGAATTGATTGCATACAATATGTGTGTTAAAGTTATACTAGGTAATTCCGTTTTCGATTACATTGTGTGTATGTGATTGATTTATTGAAATATGCAGTAGAATTAGGTTTATTTATTGATTTATTTATTATATTTTCATTAACCTAACAGTGGAATTTCATTTGCCCATAGCCTGGAAGGCGTAGCAGATAGATTGCTAAATAAGATACCCCAACCCCCTTTTTTCTTCTTAATTAACTATTTACTATCGTATACATTGCATGAAAAAGATTTCAGTCCATCCTATCAAATATAAAGTAAATTATATAACAACAGCCCTTCTGTTAAATTGACTAAAATTGTCGATTTCATTGTATTTTGGTTTCTTTTATGGCGTGACAATTTCTAGTCGAAATCATAGGCGGGTAGGCAGGGTTGACAACCGCCTACCCTGCCCTCATAAATGCAAAAACAAAAGAAACCGAAAAATAATTGATTACGCTCTAATCAAACGAAATTTCCTACCAGGGTATATGGATGTGTGTGGCTATTTGTCCTCAACTTCCGAAAAAAAAGTGCCTCCATTTTGGAAAAAGTGCCCTCATTTTTCAAAACGTGCCCTCGAATTTCAAAAGCGTTGAATCAAATACTCACGGAAAGGCTCGCGTCAATGTCTTAATATTCCCATCGCCCTAGTTACAATATTACCTCTTTTCCTGCTGCATCGATCAGCCCCGGTTGCTGTTTAACTCTCAGGCTTAGTGGGATAGGAAACCTGGTGATTGCAACCATTTATAATATTTTAGCCCCAAATTAAAATTGTCAGGGGCGGATTGGGTAGCAATGTACCCTCGGAACAATGGGTTTTGTTGGGCCCCAATCACGGTGAAGAATACGGGACATAACGAGAAAACGAAAGTAGTCTGATTCACTATTACAGCACCTCACTCATATATCATTTTTCTCCTCAGATTGAGGTCATTTCATTTTTCAGTGGATACGAAGATTGAATTGTACTTATTTTGAAAAATATATAAATAATGTTTTTCCAATTGGGGCCCAAGGCCCAGTCAGCAGCTGGAAACAGATTAGTAGTAACCGTTATTGCTTATCAAGACCATAAAGTGTCGGAGTTTGGCACACATATCTGGAGAAAATGACGAGGGCTAATATTATGAGAGATTTTATTTCGGGATCCAACATCCAATCCATTTTCACCAGGCCCGGAATAAGCGGACCGGGCTGCGGTCAGGAGCCTCAGTGTTAAAAGTACCAACAAATTAGTTCTAAAAAAAAAATTTACGATTTGATTTATATCAACCATACTGATACTGATATACAAATTGCATTTGTGTATGTGACGGACAATGACCAGAATATGTCCCTTTTTCACTGATGTATCGCGATACTGTCTCGCTGTCAGTTTAATAAAGACTACACACCTGGTTACCCAGTCATAGTCATTCAAAGCTTAATAACCTGGATGTCATCGTCTATATCTTCATCTCCATTATCATTGGAACGATTATATATATAAAAGGATACGCTCTTCGCTAAATATCTATACCTTAAAACCACTCATAATAATACAGATTTTGTTTTAATATTTCAGCCCAAATAACAAATTTAGCCTTAAATAAAACAACAAACCAGAGTTTTACTGCATATGAAGGTGTATCATCTAGAGCTGTAGATGGGGATATTGATGGTGATTATATTATAGGATCATGTACCCATACAGCTGACAATCAACCTGGTTGGTGGTGTGTTGATCTACAACACTTCTTCAATATCACCAATATTACCATATATAACAGGCTCGACAATAGTAAGTAGACAACAAATTAACAAGTATTCATTCAACCATTCTACAGACAGTCCAGGTTGTTGATGGTATTATCAACAACATTCATTTTATATCAGGAATGTCATCAACACTTTACTTTTACATTATTTGGCATTCCTTTTTAAACGTACTGACCATAAGCATGATGTAACATAATATTATTCTTTTTACTTTCACATACTTTATAAAAGTTGTAACATAATATTGACCATTTTACCTTCACTTACTTTTTAAAGTGTATTTCCCATTAGCATGTTGCAACTAGATATTGTCCATTTTTCGATGACGTATTTCACAGTGTTTTTCTTTTTTTCTCTCTATATCACATCCATTAGAAGTCTTAGGGGTGGAATAATAGAAATAAGCGGTTTCCATGTAAGATATGTTCACTTTTTGCAAGAAATGGAAGAACAGGAAAAATCAACAGGGCTTATTCTCTCGTTGTCCCAATGCTTTAAATCGATTGTGAAACAAACATCAGTTAAAACTGATTCAAGATTTACAGTTATAAAGCTGACAAAGGCTCAGTTTTAAAAAATAGTGTTCTTTTTGGTCAAGGCTATGGTATAATTTTAGGGAACTAGCCCAAATTGGGGGAAAATATAATGTTGATTATAACCTCAATATCATCCAGTCTGTTGTATATTAAAAATAACCCATAATGAATACACATGGTATAACCCCCATGTTGTAAGATACAATTATGCTTCAATAGTGTTCATTACAGTTATGTTCGGCGAAATACGTCAGAAGTCTCAATCGAGTGACAATCTCTAGCGTCCGGTTATTCGAGTCTACACCGATAGTAGTTATTGCGCATGCTCGCTAGATAAGAATATGGCGTCACTGTTTGACATGTCTAGCCTCGTTCTTCGAGTCCATTGTTACAAATGACACTGAAACGCATTACGGTACAAATCGTGTACCAATGGTAAAGTGTTTATTTTGTCTTAAATATTGGATGTCAGAAGCCCATCTTTTCACGGTAAGATCACAACATGTTGATTTAAATCGACAATAAATTCGTGTTTTCAATGTCGAAAACTGTTGAAGATATTGAGTTACAGACTCTAGCTACTTTAAATAATAATAGGTAGTCTAATTATCTAAGTGTGTTTGATAAATGCATCAACGATTATAAGATTATAATGCCCTTATCTATGTTGTAGATATGATTGTGTTGTTGATATAATTCTCAACTTTTTTGTATTCGTTTTGTATGTATTTCATCGCAAGGGTCGCCATAATTGCAAACCTATATCTGGTTTGTAAATATATGAACCGTGTCTCACGCGCCAAATATGCTGGATCAGACACAAACATCCAGTAAGCTGATGATTTGTTAATGTCAATGCATTGTAGTCATCAAACTTGTCAGATACTCAAACACTAAGTTTCCGTTTCAAGTTAAGGTAGATCTTTTTGATGGATCTGCTTGTTTCTATAATTGACGAGGATTGTCTTGTATATGACTAGATACATTTCCTAAACCACTGGATATCACTTCTCATCTATGTGAATAGTATACATTATGATTTGTGTATACTTTGATCAATACAATTAAGAAAATATTGTATTTTGTTTTACAGATCAAGATAGATTACGAGGATTTGAGATAAAGTTACAATCTGATGGTCAGTGTAATGAATCGGCATTAACAACAGCAGCACCATGTTATATAAATACCCCACCAACAAACGAATCTGTATATACTATAGATAGATGTAATCAACAACCATCTACATCTTTATCTGCTAGAACAGTGTTTATCAATGATACTGGTGTACTTACATTGTGCGAAGTTCAAATATACACAGGTAAATGTCTGTAATTTGATTTTAAATATATATGAAATGAATGGGATTTTACGGTTCTGGACTGGGCTAATGAAGACCAGGATACAAAATAGCGTGTGCTATGAGCGGAATCTTTACGCGACAGCGGAGCCATAGCTGGCTCTTATTTCGAATTCCAACGGTCCATGGTACGTTTACGTGCACATCAATGTGTACACGGGCATCGGTTTCCGTACCATCCGTGATCGAACACGCGACCTTTAGGTTAGCGAGTCAACATCCTACTCAGTGTATTACATACTGAGCTTAGGTAAACGTGACCCCCAGGATAGCGAGCCAGCATCCTATTCACTCAGCCAAGATGGCTCCATTTTAAATAGGGTATTACATATTGAGCTTAGGTAAAATTCTAATACCGTAGATTTCTTCACCATGTAAACTACATCTACGTTAAAAGTGTGATTTTACCTTTATTTTCTATCATTTGTTACTTTACAGTTTTTTCAGCAAATAATATTGTTACTGTTTGGGTTAATTTCTATATATAAAACGGAGTTTACGTATTATTTTAAATTGTTGTCCATATCAGTATTATGGTGTACGTAGTCTGTATTATTTTCTATATATCTAAAATTGAGATGAGTTTATGTTATATTTCAGACGGTTGTCCAGACCAGTATTATGGTGTAGACTGTGAGAATCAGTGTGACGTCAACTGTAAAGATAGATTATGTAATTCAACATCTGGTAATTGTAATGATTGTATTAATGGTAGATATGGTACCAACTGCCAATCAACATGTATAGTTACTAACTGTGTAGGCAACTGTGACAGGATTACAGGAGACTGTGATACATGTCATCTCAAATGGTACGGTATAAACTGTGAAACAGCATGTTCTACATGTATGACGTCATGTGTTAAATCAAATGGTATTTGTAATGGTGGATGTATTAAAGGTTATCGGGGTAACTCATGTCAACAACAGTGTTCTAATAATTGCAACAATGGGGGATGTAGACAGGGGGATGGCTATTGTACTAATGGTTGTAAAGTAGGATGGTATGGTACCAGCTGCCAACAACAATGTTCTAATAACTGTAACAATGGAGGATGTAGACAGGTAGATGGTAATTGTAATAATGGTTGTAAAGTAGGATGGTATGGAGATACATGTGATACACCATGTAATCGACAGTGTTCTGGTGGCTGTAGTAGAACAGGTGTGTGTAATGATTGTATTAATGGTAGATATGGTACCAACTGTCAATTAACATGTATAGTTACTAACTGTAATGTTAACTGCGATAGGACTGCAGGTGACTGTGATATATGTCATCTAAAATGGTACGGTACAAACTGTCAAATATCATGTTCCACATGTATGACATCATGTGTTAAATCAAATGGTATGTGTAATGGTGGATGTATTGATGGTTATTGGAGTAACTCGTGTCTACAGCAATGTTCTAATAACTGTAACAATGGAGGATGTAGACAGGTAGATAGTTATTGTAATAATGGTTGTAGAGGAGGATGGTATGGAAATACATGTGATACTTCTTGTACAGTTGATCAATGTATAGGTGGGTGTAACAGCAATACAGGACAATGTTCTGGATGTACACAGGGTTACTATGGTACCAATTGTCAAGAACGGTGTTCTAATAACTGTAATAGTGGAGGATGTAGACAGGTAGATGGTTATTGCCTTACTGGTTGTAAAGTAGGATGGCATGGAGATAAATGTGATACATCATGTAATCAACAGTGTTCTGATGGCTGTAGTAGAACAACAGGTGTTTGTAATGATTGTATTAGTGGTAGATATGGTACCAACTGTCAATCAACATGTATAGTTACTAACTGTAATAGTAACTGCGATAGGACTGCAGGAGACTGTGATATATGTCATCTAAAATGGTACGACCCAAACTGTGAAACATCATGTTCTACATGTACCACGTCATGTGTTAAATCAAATGGTATTTGTAATGGTGGATGTATTGATGGTTATTGGGGTACCTCGTGTCAACAACGATGTTCTAATAACTGTAATAGTGGGGGATGTAGACAGGTAGATGGTTATTGTAATAATGGTTGTAAAGTAGAATGCTATGGAGATACATGTGATACATCATGTAATGGACAGTGTTCTGGTGGTTGTAGTAGAACAACAGGTGTTTGTAATGATTGTATTAGTGGTAGATATGGTACCAACTGTCAATCAACATGTATAGTTACTAACTGTAATAGTAACTGCGATAGGACTGCAGGTGACTGTGATATATGTCATCTAAAATGATACGGTACAAACTGTGAAACATCATGTTCTACATGTATGACGTCATGTGTTAAATCAAATGGTATTTGTAATGGTGGATGTAATGATGGTTATTGGGGTACCTTGTGTCAACAACAATGTTCTAATAACTGTAACAATGGAGGATGTAGACAGGAAGATGGTTATTGTACTAGTAGTTGTAAAGTAGGATGGTATGGAGATACATGTGATACATCTTGTACAGTTGATCAGTGTATAGGTGGTTGCAGTAGGAGTACAGGACACTGTTCTACGTGTAAATCTGGTTGGTATGGTACAAACTGTGAAACCAGATGTTCTAGTAATTGTACAGGGAAATTTAATACACCAACAGGTATATGTATAGAATGTAAATCCGGAATATTTGGGGCCGGTTGTAATAAAACATGTCCTATTAACTGTCCTGATACTTGTACCAGAATAGATGGTAGATGTACTGAATGTATTGTTGGAAGATATGGCGATGGATGTAATAGGACGTGTAGTAGGGTGTGTGGTAGTAGCTGTAGTAGGAGTAATGGTAGATGTACTGAATGTATTGTAGGAAGATATGGTGATGGGTGTGATAAGAACTGTAGTACAACATGTTATGGTAGATGTGATAGAACTAATGGTAAATGTAGTTTATGTATTAAAGGATACAGTGGCGACAATTGTGACAGAGAATGTAATCAAAACTGTACTATTTGTAATCAAGATGATATCAACAACTGTTCGCAATGTAAAGATAGAAGATGGGGGAAATCATGTAATTACACGTGTAGTTCTAACTGCATGCACCGTTCCTGTTATAAGGAGAATGGAGACTGTTCGGTTGGTTGTGTGGGGGGTAAAATAGGAATGGATTGCTCTGAAAGTAAGATATGTTTTCTAAGCATTTCCATTCATTCTTACCCATATATACTCTTCAAAAAAAAAGTAGGGGATATTCAGAAACAATACAAAATGCACTGCTTTTTTTATAAGAGGTAACCAGTGTATGTTAATAACAGGCCAATTGCCTACACATGAACATAAACAGTTCACATGGGCGGCTTATCTGACGGGCCCATTTCATTTGCAAAGAGATACACTGTCAAAAGTGAAAATGGACGTTTTTGATTTTTGTCTTAATAATGCGTAATTGCTCCACCAATCCTAGACATTCAGCAATTCGTTGTGGCACATGCTCCTAATCAACCGTCCAATCACGATTTGGGTCAATCTGACCCACTCCTCTTGCAGTGCCACGGCCAATTCTTGCAGTGTTGTCGGTTGACGTTGACGTCGACGAACACATCTCCCAATCAAATGAAGTGTAAAGCAAAGATACGCTAAACAGTAAATCTTATGCAAGAACCGATAGGAAAGCAAACATGGATAGGATAAACCAGCAAGCTGCAGTTTTCATCAAACCTTCCTTGAAGTGTCAAATTTGACAATGAACCCCTCCCACGTGTATGGCGCTATTGCGTGTCGCACATGGAGCTCAGTGATTCTGTTGGGACGATAAGTTCTTCATCTGTGAACATACTCTCAAAGCATTTCAAGTATTCATGACTATTTATAATATCACAACCTGCATAGGTATTTGCGTTTCAATGTCCCCTACTTTTTTTTGAAGAGTATATATATGATCAAGACACGAATGTTTTAATTCTTAAATATAGATTGTGACGAAAGTATTTATAGGGTAGTTATTCTCAATAAAGGTATGGCAAATTTGGTATAAATGGAAAGTAGAGACGCCTAATCTTACTAGAAAAATACATGATTCCCCGAAAAACACTCACGGGACAAGCATTGGGCAAAAATATCAGGGTATCACTAACTGGCAACCTGGCGGTTTATTGGCTACCAACTTGGCTTAGGGAGTGCTTGTTATTGCTTGATCGAATTGTAGGGGGATTTTGCAAACATTGAGGGATTTAAGCGTATTACAGACTCTGCAATTAAAAGGCGGAAAAAGAAGCTGGCAGAAGATAATCCACGAATTTGCATAGGCTTCAATATGTATGGCAAATGACAAATACATTCTAAAAATGGGCCCTCCCTCAATCAAGTTACATGACAAACATGACTTCTAAAATTAGATTTTTTATATTCTGCGGTATTTACTCGCGAATACAATGTTTTGAGAGGGATATGAAGCAAAATTATGTTAGATTAAAGATACATTGTCCCGAAAGTATTTATCTGGTGGTTATTTCAAATAAAAGTATGACAAATTTGGTATATATGGAAAGTATAGACACCCAATCTTACTAGCGCTGGGCAAAAAATGTCAGGGTATCACTAACTGGCAACCCGTCTGTTGTCTGCCAGCTTATTTTGTGCTAGCTTGACTGAGGAAGTGGTTGTTATTTCGTGATCAAATGGATAGGCGGTTTCGGCAACATTGAGAGGTGTCAGCGTACAAAAGACTTGAGGTATCCCCCCGCGAATACAAAGTTTTGAGAGGATTTGAAGCAAATGTTTGATAGATTAATTAGTTTGAATATGTGTTTAGTCCAAACATATCATCGAATCACACAGTTTGTACGCGGGAAAGTATCTTTAATTAGTTTGGATATGTTTTTAGTCAAGATATATCGTCAAATAACCCAGTTGTACGCGGGAAGGCATCTTTAAAGAAGGTGCATCCGATTGGGCTCTCGTCAGTGTGTGAAATCTTATTGAATCTACTTCATTAGTACTTTTATCCATGGACAAAAAATCAAACTGATAAAGAAAGTGAACGTAATTTTACTACCGTAAATCCTACCGTAATTATTGAGATTAAGTAATAAGTGCACTATACACATGTCAACGTCAGGGTGGGGTGGGGACGGGGTTTGAGACGATGTTCATTTCATGGTATATATTTTAAAAGACTTGTAAAGTTTGAGGGCTCTGGATTTAAGTTTGTCTTGTACACGAAGCTAATCCAGAACAGCACAAGCTTAAGCATTCTGTCCATATTTTATAGCTTTTAACTTTGGCGTTCAAAAAAAGCTGCACTTCCTGGCAACGCTGATTTCTTTTCAAAATAAAACTGCAACGCGTATTCCGAAATGCTTTCCATAAATTACAATTTCGGTAATACATTAAATTCAACTTTATTTATACAATCTTCTAATTTTTGGTAGCATCTGGCTTCATAAAAAAAAGCCGTACTGATATTACTTAAAACTGAAAATATATTGAGAGAAGGAAGGTAAATCTGACAAGATGATATGGAATGTACTAGTATATTACATTGTAAGGGAATACACGGACTTCTCGCGCGGTGGGTAAGTGAGTAAGACGCTGGCTCGGTAGCCTGGAGGTCGGGTGTTCGATCCCTGCATTGGCCGAGAAAGTTCATCCAGATTTTCCGGCGTGGTTCCCCCTTGTCAGTGATGCAGGACGGAGGGCCTGACAAGGACAATTGTCTAGTCGTTAGGATGGGACGAAAAACCGAGGTCCCGTGTACACATTGGAGTGCACGTAAAAGATCCCCTGACAGTTGGAATTCGATATAAGAGTAGGCCGTAGTGCCGCTGTAATTTCCCTCACAGCACAATGTATGGCGTATGCCCGTCTTTATTAGCCCTGTTTGGAGCAAAACAGTAGGACGTTAAACCCGATGTCATTTCATCTCATTTGCATTCTCGTATCTAGTGACAGTCAATTATTTTTGTGTATAGTCCGTTTCGAAGAGCTATCCTCTCACCATCTCATATAACAATTTTTCGAATACAACAGAATTATCAATAAGCTGTAAATAAAATTGACTGCTGTCGCCCTATACTTAAATAGTAAGGATAAACTATCAAATCTTTGTTACGGGACAAGCATATTTTTGGAATATGTTTAACCAGGACTATTATTTGACATCAACATTTTCCTTTAAACCAAAGGAAATACACAAAGTCCCATTATTTGAGGTGTCAGTGCTCATAGGAAATATAGCTACTAATGTGGAGGTATTGTGGTTTTATAATTTAAGATAAAGATACAGCTGATGAAGAAGTTAGTCCAGTTGTAGGTGGTGTTATTGGTGCTATATTTGGTATAGTTGTTACATTAGTAATATGTATTACAGTATATTGCTATATAGTTAAAAGGTAGGATATAAAATTATATAAATGTGTATTCATCTTACACTTTGATATAAGTCTGAATCAGAAGGTAAGACATATTTTAACCTTTCGATTTAATAATACCTCAGTGTAAGTAAGTGCATTAAGGCCCGGTCCCAGTGGCCGATGGGCACAAAACGTATGCAAAAAGGACACAGCGGACGAGCAAACTTTCGGGGGTGGCTCCATCCGTTTTCATCCGCTCCAGAAATGGACAAAATTGACGAAAATTTGAAAACTTTATATATGAGATGCATACGCTTACATCCTTTCTATTTCCGTGCTACTAACGATGTATAGACGTTCCATGTACCTTATCTTTCCTCTCTCTTTCCATTTTCAGCTGGAGCGGATGTGAGTTGCGAGGATGCCCAGAGGATGCAGAGAGGATTCAGTGGACGCTTAACGGATGATAACGGACATGGAACGTTTAAAGCTCGTATATGTCGCGCATTTATATCGTACACGGCAGAAAGTTCAACCGTTATAACTTTTTGCGTGGATGAAATCAAAGTGAACGGATGCTCGATGGATAGAGGGTATGAAACACGTATGCAATGAGTACACAACGGATGCATGGCGTTTTCAAACGGAGGACACGTTTTTTCCCCGTTTTACATCCTCTTTGCATCCGTAAGTGCAGCGGGACCGGGCCTTAACCCTTGTGCCGTCCACATTTCTAGACAAAAAGTTATACACAAATATCATTGTGACAATGACACGGACGGCATAGATACTGTTGGCAATCTAGTGAATTAATTATAAATGATGATAATATGGATGATATCGGTTTATTTTGATTTTCAGAAATCAGTCGTCTAAACAAACCAGTGAATCACGTGGTTATAGATATAATAATCAGTCTACTATAAATACATCAACAACAGGTGGAGATAACTC